GGGGGGGGGGGGGGGGGGGGTATTTACTGTCTTTATTTTTCATAAAAGTTTAAAACTATATAGTTGCACCGGAAAAATAAGTTTCAAATTGATATTTTTAATTTTGGGCACTGATACGGGGATCCTTAATGCTATATCGAGGCCGCTCAACCACTGGGTCGCAGGTTCGAGGCATAGGAGATGGTTGCCGGTTACAGGTCGACGATTTCGTCCGTATGCTTAACAGTATGAAGTCCCGTACAGAGGACGCAGCTTGCTTCAAAACAGTTAACACAACAGACTAACTAGCAGATGTTAGGATAAATCTGTCGGCTAGCAGCACCAATTTTCTCATTAGAATTTTGTCTAAGCTTCAGGTCAGTGTTATTAATTTCGTAACGTTCTCACAGTATTATGGAGATCCTCGAATTATCATTACGTTCTTTCTATTTTTAGAAAATCGTCACGATGGCCACATCGGAAAACATGTTGACGTCGCTTCTAGCAGTGATGTTGATGGCTTCTGTTGACGGACTTCTTGTAAACGAAGCTGACGTCTTGGACAGAAATGACTTTCGGGGCTACGAGGATGACCTACTAGGACCCGTGGGTTATGGTGGTCATTCTGAGGTGGAACCTCATTACAACATGGCTCAGGGAGACTTGAAAACACCACAGAGGTTTCCGTCGCCGCTAATGAATACGTTGCTATGGAGAATGTCTGTGGAATCCGATGATAATACCTGTCCTGAAGAACAACCAATTTTGGTTTCTGTCAATGGACTAAACGGAAAGTTCTTAGTATGTGCATCACTTCAGGAAGCTTCACACATGCGAAGTCGACGTGGCGTGGAAAGGTCACGAATTTCATCTAAAACGAGTCTTAGTGAATTGAAGTCAAATTCAGCCAATCAGAAACGTTCTCGTCTTTCCATAAATGGTGCGTTAACCTCATTGGCTGGAATGCTCCAATCAAATGCGAGGAGACACGGGGGAAACAACATGGGAGGAGTTGGCAGGGACCTTCTTTTGAAGAAGATTTTATCTATAGGCTGAACGCCAGTCGGAAGACGAACTTCGACGTTTTTGAAAGGATCAAAATGTGATGATGGGATTTTTGTCTTGGTTATTAATCTTGGTTATTGACATTAAGATACACTTCAGTTCCTCTTCTATGAGATGTGCGTTTGCTCACGGAAATAGCGTTTAACGCCTAAAAATTGTTTCAACGAACATTTTGTTTCGAGGGCTAATATAATTTGTTTGTTTGTTTGTGAAGGTGGTCGCCATTGGTTCTATGAACTATTGCCTTCACTTTGATAAAATATTACCCAGATACAAATTAATGTTCCCTTAAACCATAATGATATGAATCTTAACACAGCAAAGTTTACAAAACGTTGGTGTCGACATGCTACACATTATACTTAAAATGGTTGAAATAAGGTAAAATAACTTAATTAAAGATCATTGTCTCGCTGCACTCTGCTTTTTCTTGTATATACAGTAAATCTCTTATTTTCGTTTTGGATATTCCGTCTTTGCGTATTGCAGAGTTATCTTCTCTTATGAACAGGTATTAATTGTTACGTCATTTGTTTGTGAGAGTAACGTCATCAGTTTTTGAGAAAACGGCGTAATTTTCTCACACAAACCAATTACGTAACAATCAATACCTGCTCACAAGAGAAGATAACTCTGCAATACGCAAAGACGGAATAACCGTAGCACAGTTCTGCCACGTTGGTCCAGGGCATTTCCGTTGACCAGATAGATAGTCGGTTAGAATGACTGTTAGATAATCCGAGGTTTTGGGTTCAAATCCCGGTCTGGCACGCTGATTTATTACTATTAGATCACTGTTGTTGATTATATTTATTAATTTTACCTTTTCATGAAAGTAATAAAAGTAAGGCATGATTTTCTTTTACAGAAATTATTTATTAGAGGTGTAACCATGCCGGAAAAACAGTTCAAGTGCGTAGTTACAGTTTTCAGCAGAGGTACGAGGATCCTTAATTTAAACGAAGATCGTGGTCAGAGATACATATGAAAGTTCTCGATTGGAATTTTAAAAACTGTAAATCCGTTAGGTTACAGAACAAAAATACAGTATACATTTCAAACGACTCGCTTGATATTGATATACCAGTGCTAGTCGCTGAATAAGCGAATACATTGTTTTCGATTTCATGGTTTCTTTACTTACAAAAATGTATTTGTTAGGATTTTTTGTATTTGCTTTTTTTCAAAACAAAACAGAACTTTCATTATGAAATGAAAGTAACAAAAACCAAGAATTTCCCAGATTTTCTTTTACACTTTTGGAAAGCTGTCAGATTGAGGTAACGCTTTGAGTCGAGCATCTATGATCTATGATCGATCATACTTTTTATTTAATTGAAAACGTCATACGTTAACATCACTTTGTTAACTATACTTGCGAGAGTGCAATCGGATATGTTCACAAATAGTTGAAATAGAATCGTCAAATATCCACGCAAAGAAACACCATGGCCCTGGATCCCTGGGACAGTTTACAGTTAATCGAGTTTAATTGTAAAGCGCCTGAAAACGCTGCGTGATGTCTCCATGCATCGTTCGATTCTGACTTTATCTATTACGATTCACTAGTTAATCATCATAATCGACATTAAGTTCATTTAGATTATTAACGCCATGCTACTTGCTCCCTCGATCACCTAACTTTTGGATTGTCTGCCGTAATTTCTTGCGTTTTGCTTTTTGCAGGAACACTGTTTGTTCACATTTTAAAAGTGCTGGCTATATATTATCTTTCAAATGCAAATTATATATCTTAATTCTAAGCAAAAACATTGCGGTAGCAAAGTGGTTAAGGGCGTCTGCCATTCTGCTACCACTAGCCCTCCTCCACTAGGTCGCGGGTTCGATTCAAACGTATACGTAGGGCAGTCGACATGTACTGGCCGTAGGTCGGTTGGTTTTTTCCGGGAACTCCAGCTTTCCTCCACCACCAACACCTGTCACGTCCTTAAATGACCATATCTGTTAATAGAGCGTAAAACACAAACAAAGGGTATGTATTGTCTGTTTACATTTGAAAATGCTCCCTACGGGCTATGGATAGCGCGGGCTACGTATCAGTTTTCAAATGCAAATTATATATCTTAATTCTAAATAAAAACACATCATAAGTTTGGAAATTCTGAAGTTTTATCATCAAACCTTGCATGAAAGATTGGTTCTTATTTCTGGTATTGTTATATATCGTTTATTGGGAGTTCTAAGATCGACATGGATGTTTACAGAATATTGATTGGCACTATTGGTATATCAAGGGTATATAAAGTTAAGCAACTCACAATTTGATCTAAATCAAACATTGTTATATAGTTAAATGAGAGTACAGGTGAGACGTGGTATTCATCGCTATAATAGTAACTAGGTAAATAAATATAAAATTAAATAATCTCATTTAACGTCGTGTAAATTGTCAACAACAAAAATAATCTCTGTAGAGCTTTTATTACGATGCCGCTAAGGGATTCAGTGCTGTTTTCGTGGTGGAGGAAAACCCACGGGGGAATAAACCACCGTGTCATCGGAGGGATAACAACTAATCCTAGCAGACATCGCTCTTTTTTCCGCCATCCGTTCATGATTAAACAAAACAACTAAACACTTAAGTCTGATTTAATTTCATTATTTCTTGTGAGATATGAATATATACGTTTTTTCTACTTTTTAGTGTTCCCTGTGGGTATGTCACTATCCTTGGTCTCTCTTTGTGAACCTGACATTACCTTGATTTGACCTAGATCAACACGGCGAGTGTAAGTCTCGTTCAACTAGACGCTACGGCGTAGCTTGCGCAGACATCAAGACCATTGTGAAAATTAACTTAAAGGAGAATATGACCAGGTGTTCTGAAAGAATAAAGGTCATTTGCCTCATCAACTACACTCGCCTAGTCTCGTTCAACCAGACTCGTGTTGTCTGCGCAAGCTACGCCGAAGCATCTGGATGAACGAGACTTACATTGGCCGTGTAGATCTAGGTCTATTCATTATGTTAAACATAGAAACGAAATAGTCCATCCGGACCAAAGATAACATGATGAATCATTATCCTTTCCGAAAAAATAGAACTAACCATTTTCGAGATACACTCTTTGTTGATCATACAAAGTGATGTCAAAGATTTGCTTATAATCCATTTACTAGCTAAAACGTTCTCATCGTAACTTTTAATGCCATGTTGTAAGTCTCGTTTTATTGCAGATGTTCATAATTCTTCGAATGTTTGTCATGCATTGATGATACCTTGTACCTTAATCAGATGTGAATTAGTTTTTCATATACATACATACTTTAAGGCAGGGACACTTGCTTAACTATGACGTCAAAATTGCAACTTTTATACTTAATGGTTTCAGCATTAGGAGAATCTAAAGGACCATACTTTTTCAAAATACTTTATAAATTAGATAAAAATATTTTTTCGATCATTTTCAATATGATCACTTAATTTTAAAATAATCAAGTTAGCCATGATATGTTAAACCAAACCGATAGCAATTTGTATTGCTTGATATTTGCGCACATAATTTTCTACCAAATAAAAATCCCTGCTCATCAGTTATGTGTTTTTGTTTTTTGTTTTTTTGAATGTTGGCCATATTGGTGTGATGGGCTACACTTTTGTTATACATTAGTGGAATATAATTAATAGAAGGGACACAAAGCATCGGGTTTATTTACTGCAATACATTTCCATCAAATCGATGTAAAACAAGTATACAACAATTAACATGATCAGGCTTCCCACGCAATTTTAGTCGTCTGGTTCAGTTACTCGAAACTTAAGCGTGGTGCCTCTTGCTAGAGAGGTTCCGAATAAGGTAAATGTGACCGGGGATAATCGAGCGCGTGAGGGGTACACACCTCCACGTCATGTGATCAATAACATATAATCAAATAGAGTGTTATATATAGACGAGGCATACGCATGTTGATCATAACAGATAATCTGATTTGATGATCAAATTGATCGGTGTCATTGTCTCTAGCAATCGCTACTAAAACAACAAAAACGCCTTAATTGCAAGAGCCCTTTTAAATCAATGACAATGTGTGCAGTATATCTTCTGTTTAATTTTTCAAGAAGAGTCAATCGTTAATTCACTAGATGATTACTTTTTCAAGCCTTTCATATTATGAAAGAACACCAATATTAAGCATTTTATTTTAGCAAAAGACCGTATATAACGGTTTAACACGTTTTCGGATTTTGAAACGCTAAACCTTAACATTGATACATCAACATTCGTTGCAATATTTTCTTTTGTTATCAAAAACGATAGTAACACACAACATCACGTATACGACAATAATATTTGGTCACATATCATTTAGATAAATACCGCACATTGTTACGTACAGTTGTATATAAACCACTTACCCTTTTTACATAATAAATTCATCAATAGTGGACATAAGTCATAAAATGTAAATAGATAAGTTTCTCTCATTGGCTCAACAATGACGTCACATCACGATTTTGGAACTTTCCGATGCCGCAATGCGGAAAAGGCGACGTGGTTAAAATTAAAACCTTTTACGATACATTTACCGTACACGTTAGAAAGGTTATTTAAAGGTGAGAACAGAATCTAAGTCATCTCATCAAAACAGATTTTATTTCTGGATTTCCGGATCGAGTTTAAAAGTATTCATTTTAGAGACTTTGCTTCTCTAAACGTTTCTAGACACATTTCATCGATTGCATAGGAAATATAATCAGATTTTAATCGATTCAAAGCAGTAATCCGTAGATAATAACATAATTTATTATTAACATTCACGAAATCACAATTTTCCGACCAACATTAAGAGGTTGTAACCGTTTAAAGCTGGTTTTGCTGAGCCTTCTTAATCTGTTCAAATTCTGTTTGTGCAGTTTCCTTTACGAATGGATTTTAAAGGAGGTATTCTGATCACAGTGCTTGCGGGGGATAACATTAGGATTATGATATTAGACGACGAAAAGGAATTGTCATTGTATCACAGATATGCAAATCAATGTATGGATTTTATTAGTGTAGAGAATCAAGCTGTGATATTGATTTGATTTGATACAATCTTAAAGGCATATCAATACTATACGGTCTTAAAGGAACAAACATTTGAGCAAGGATGAATGGCACATGTATGAAAAGGAATAAAGAAAACACGTTGTTTAATTGGATACAAAATAGAAGAGATTAATATCCTAAGTGATAACTACCCTTTAATCCGTAGATAATTACTATAAAGGAACAAATGTTTGAGCAAGGATGAATGGTGCAAGTATGAAGAGGAAGAAAGAAAGAACATTGTTTAATTGGATACAAAATAGAAGAGATCAATATCTTAAGTGATTACAACCCTTTAATCCGTAGATAATGACTATGTGGACATTCTGGTTGTCTATCTATTGGAATATGGTCACTTTACGGCTGTCAAAATAGGACACACTATTTTGTTAGATTATGATCACGGTATAGGAGTTGAAACATAGAAGCTATACAAT